CCCACGCCCCCGCCCTGCCCCCGCCCCCACCCAACCCCTGCCCTGCCCCCGGCTCACCCTGTCCTACCCTGTCCCATGAGTCCGCCCCTAGTTCCCGGATGGCTCTGTCCCTTGATCCCCCAGCTGGCCCCATTCTGTCCCTGCTGTGCCCCATTCTTGTCCCTCACCTCCTGACCCTGGCCTGTCGTCCTGCAGCTGTGGAAAGGGCGTTGGCAGGGCAACGACATCGTGATCAAAGTGATGAAAGTCCGGGACTGGACAACGCGGAAAAGCAGAGACTTCAATGAGGAGTACCCGGATGGCTCTGTCCCTTGATCCCCCAGCTGGCCCCATTCTGTCCCTGCTGTGCCCCATTCTTGTCCCTCACCTCCTGACCCTGGCCTGTCGTCCTGCAGCTGTGGAAAGGGCGTTGGCAGGGCAACGACATCGTGATCAAAGTGATGAAAGTCCGGGACTGGACAACGCGGAAAAGCAGAGACTTCAATGAGGAGTATCCCAAAGCCTGTTCTCACACTTCTCTCTCTTCCAGGATCTTCTCGCACCCCAATGTCCTGCCCCTCTTGGGGGCCTGCCAGTCGCCCCCGGCCCCCCACCCAATCATCATCACACACTGGATGCCCTACGGTTCCCTCTACAACGTCCTGCACGAGGGGACGAGTGAGTGTCAGGACAGGGGAGGTGGGCAAGGGCAATGGCAGACACCCGCTGCTGTGTGGGACCCTGGACGGGTGGGGTGGCTGTGCCTAGGGGGCCCTCTCCAGCCCTGGACCTGGCCCCCATTTCACCCTGGGGCTTATCTTAGGTAGCTCTCAGCAGCCTGTGGGAATCCCCCCACACACACACACACACACTGGCCGTCTCCTCTCCCAGCCTCCGGCAGCTGTCACCAGCTTATAGCCCCCCCCCATTGGCTGCTGCCTGTACCCCACTGCTCTCGTCCATCCCCTCCCCCGGTACCCACATCTGCAAGGCCCTGCGCCCTTACCCCCCCAGCACCTGCATCAGCCCCTGGAGTCTCGCCAGCCCCACGGCGCCTGCGGTAGCCCAGCTTTGGTTTCCCTGTCTGCCCTTCCTGCTCCTCTTGTCCAACTCCTGGTGCTGGCATGAGACCCGCATCCTGGTCCTCCCGCTCCCTTCTCCTCCCCCGGGTGCCCAGCCTGCCTCCCTGCCCAACCCCCGGTGGCCAACCCACCTCCCTCGCCCCTCTTCTCTCGCTGGTGGCTCCATCAGCCCCGACTCCCTCCTCCTGCTGGTGCCCAATCCTGCCTGCCGCTCCCCCTCTCC